TAAGCTAGATTACAGGCCTTTTATCTCATCCACACTCAATAATTTAATGCAAACCCCTTGTGTTCAAGCCTTATCTTATGTGTTTAAACATTGCATACAAGATTGAACCATAATTAGAAAAAGCAATATATCCATTTTTGAAAAGTTGAACTTTATGTCAAATTTGCAAATCAAGAAGTACAAGGCAAATCTCTTTGGCACAAGTTCAGAAGCATGTCACACTAATCAAGAGGGATAGTTGCAGCACATTTAAGGGGCATGCACAAGTCTAGAAGCCAAGTTGACATTTTGTTGCTTAAGTTAGAAGAAAGCTAGCATTTTGGAAGAACAACTCTCATTTTCTGCCAACACAAGCTAAGACAAACTTGTTGTACACCTTCCAAACATCAAACCTAAGCTGAGGCACGAGCAAAACACCTTCCAAACCTCATCAAACCTCAAAACACCATCCTACTGCAGAAAACAGAGTCACCTCTGCAGTTGGACTTCCATAGCTCAATCCACTCGTGCATTCTTGCTAAAACCAGTTCATACACACTCCATATCACATATACAAGCTATCCCAAGCATTGGACACGACCTGTGACACCTCTAACCAACTTCACCATTTTTTCTTTTTCTGTTTTGCAGGTTGATTGCCATAGCTTGATTCACTTGGTTTCAAAGCAAGCTAAAGGTTGAAATAGCATCCCTGGACTTCAAGCAAGCTGTACCAATCCTCATCTTGCCTTGAAAGTGCCTCCATTGCTAGACACGATTCAAGCTGAACAGGTAAGTTCATGGACTTCTATCTCTCAATATAGGAAGAGTTAGCTTTAAGTTTATGAATGAAAAATGTTCTACTCATGCCCCTGAAGCTATACATATCTTCACTTTCCATTTATATTGCATGTGCTGAGAGAATTTAAGACCTGAACATTGACAAAAACTTAGGTTAAGAATTAGGGATGGAGAAATTCTCTCTCATTTCTGAGAGTTAAGTTAAGTTTTTTATATGTATGGAATCGTGGCTTGATGCTTGACATTTTTCATGTTGTGAGTTTGTGCTAAAAGTCCAAGAATCATGAGATAGCAGAAACGGGTGTTTTGTTCAAGGATGCTGGAGGTTGAAGAAGACAGAGTCCTTGGGCTGGGCCTGAAATATTTTTCCTTTTCACACCACTGTTTTACACATGCACCCCCTGGCCCATTTTGAGTTTTATTTATCATTTTTAATTTTTTCCTTTTGATTTTGTTTCTATATTTTTATTTAAACATGAAAGAATATTAAAATTATTTTTCCCATATTTTTTGCATTTTTTTATATATATTTATTTGGCTTTATTTAGTTTTGTACATAAATAAACATTTATATACTTTTATTTGAAATAACCAAAAAATAATATAAACACTTTTATTTTCTGATTTTTATTTTATTTTACCTTTGAAAACATTTTACATAAAATATACTTTTTTTTTGTAAATATTAAATATTTTATTTTTGTACATATAATGAATATTTAATAAATAATGTAAATATTTATATATTTATTAGTATATTTAGGTTAAAAACATAAAAAATATACATTTTTATTTTTATTAATATTTAACTTAAAAAATCACCTTTTGACAATATACTTCTTTTTTTATTTATTTTTTGTACATAAGTAATAAATATTGCATACATTAAATAATTAATACTTTTATTTAACCAATTAGGGTTTTGCCCTAAATACCTAAAAATACCAAAATTAATTCATTTTATTTTTGTTCATTTGACACATGATAAATATTTTTTTACATACATATGAAAACCATTTTTTGCATTTTGCATATTTATTTTATTTTATTTTATTATTGTGCAATTAAATCCCTTGTAGAATTTCAATTTGGATGTAATAGTTAGATTTTAATTTCTTGCTAAAATATCCCCATTTGAACATTTGTACCCCCATCCCATATATTGTGTTGTAATAACTTAGGACCTTTTATTTTCCGCATTTTAAAAGTTTTCTAAATATGCCATGTTAGAATTAGGGTTTGTATGCAAATAAAAAACAACAAATAGTTTGACCTAAATTCAAGATAAACAAGCATGAAAATGGACAACACTAATCACACTTGCACCCCTAGGGTACTCCACTTGTTGCCTTCAATAAATGGACCATATTGCATGTTAGGTATCTTTGGCAAAAACAAAACAATCAAATGATCATAGTCCCTCGATGACGCTTTCAAAAGTTGTCTAAAAATGATCAAGTCCCTTAAAGAAAAAATTGCCCAAAGATACTTGGCACCATTGCAATCATGGTCTAAACGATGACCCGCGCCCGTCCCGTTCACATCCTAACACAAGATTGTCCACCAAATACAATGGTGGAACAAAATTGTTAAAAGGGTTAAAAACATAGCAAAGATCTTTGAGAAATTTAGGAGTAGACAACTCTTGGTTACTTGTCAATTTGCAAAATAAAAACACTTGCCTATTTTCAAAACCACACATCACAAAACACTTTCAAAAACAAAAACATTGAAAAATCTTTTCAAAAGACATACACCTTTGTATACATCCCGACATGGATCATTACAAAGGTTTCCACCACATTGGCCTCTTTTCAAAAACATTTTCAAAACCCACACACACAAAGCACCATTTTAAAAAATTGAAAATCAAGGCAAGTTGATCTAAGCAAGTAACTAAGAGCCCATGGATAACCATGGATAGAAAGGGTGCTAATACCTTCCCTTTCTATAATCTACTCCCCGAACCCAAGAAAACATCTCAAAGGTTTTTGCTGTGCTTTTTAACCTTTCCTTAGGATAAAATAAAAAGTCGGTGGCGACTCTTGCTCAACCGAAACATTTGCGAAAACAAACGCAAAACCTCAAGTCAGTTCTCCCACCGTATCACACCTTGCAGCATTTGTTACCACATGAAACTAATTTCTAAGCATAATGGTTCATGTACATTTACGATTTCGCTTGACAAAATATATTGACGACAACGTGATTCAAAATTATAAATACATTTTAATCAATTAAGACTAAAATCATGAATTATGATAAAAAGACATGAACCTTACACAAAATAGGAAGTTCAAAAGGATCCCAATTTTAGAACCCTAATATCGGGAAAAAAAACTCGAATTCAAATTGAATCAGATATGAGTGACTCTGATACCATTTGTTGAATCTGTTCATAACCTTATGATTTCTATCGATATGGAAATCAAGAACACAACTCTAAACTAATCCATATGAGTCAAATATGACATCGACTCACATCCCTTAAATTCATACATGAATCCAATAAGATAATAAAAGCAGAAGCGTACTTGAGTTTACCATTAAAATCGTTGAAGATTTGTGGGTATGTGATATACCGATTTGTAGAGTTCCTTAGTGTTCCTTGAATATCTTCTAATGAGGATGAAGAGAGAATCCTAATAAATCACATATTTCAATTGCTTCACAAATAGAGACCATAATCCATATAAATAATTTTATGATTATTTCTAAGTTTACAATATTCTATTTTGTCTCTCCATCAAATTATATATTGACTTATGATATCTATACAATAATTTTATATTTCATGACATTTATGTGTTTAACCATAATTAAATCATTAAATTTTAACTAATTAAATAATGTCCCTAACTCATGTACTATTACATTTGTGGATCATAAATTCTAACACATAACAAATCAAACTATTAATATTAAATTTATTTGATTAATTAATCGAGTTCAATAATTTAATTATCAAATCAAAACTCGAACTACGTTCAAATCTATTCGATTCTTTTTCACATAATATTCTTTAATACACCAACAATTTTAAAATAAGTATTATTTAAACATCAAATATTTAACATCATATCTGACATCGAATGTCAACGTTATATTAATATTTCCATCTCTCATACTTTTTTATTTCATAAATTTTCACAAATTCTTAATAATACACAAATACATCTAAAAATTATATTTGCCACATTATTAACATCCAAATTTAAATATTAAAATATTATTTCTCTATTTTTAATTTAATTATTGTATGAAAGTCGCACGCAATGGAAACTCAAAAGCTTTCTTGGAATTCCGTTATCAACAGTCCCAAGACAAACAATTTTTACAATTTTAATATTGCATATTAAAAAGATATTCAAATTATCCAAAATAAATATTCATTAAAATATAAAATTGGTTCACAAAAGAATTGACTCACTTAAATTTATTCTCTTTTTTGTAAAAAAAAACTATATTAAACCCTAAAAAAAGTCATATTTTATGATGATAAAATCAATGATGAACATTGAACAACAGCACCATCCATCCATGTGCTGGTAACGCACATGGCCAAGGTAGAAACCGACAATCTTACATTAAATAAACACAATTCATTCTAATAAATACGACAAAACAAAACAACCTTGTCCTCTTCTCCAATTCCCTCTTACGTTTTCTGTTCTTTTCTCTCTCTCTCTTCAAAAGTCAAAAACCCAAGTTAGTGCTTGATTACTGATTAAAGAGATTCCAAACTCGAGAAAAGAGCAATGAGTGTGTTTCAAGACATTGACCCCACATGTGCTGTTTTTAGATATCATTTATGAATCAATTCAATACCCATTAAAATTCTCTTTCTCTCTTTTTTTTTTTTTTTTTGTGGTAGTTATAGTTGAAGAAAGTTAAATAAAGAGTCAATGATCTCTTTACTTTCCTTTTTCTGAAAATCATTGTGAGGATTTTTGGAAGGGAATTTGGTTGTTGACCTAAACTTGGTTGATTAGATAGTTAGGTGAGAAATTCTATGTTTTTTTGGTAATGGAGTGGTTCTAGGGTTTTCAAGTGGTGTTGTTGAGTTGAGTTGTTTTTTTTTTTGGTGGGTTGCTGAGAAATGTTGTAAAGGTTGAAACTTTGGGAAATTGAAATTGAAAAATTGAAAAATTGAAATTTGGAAGAAGCTACATTGTTAGATACAACTATAAGACTGGAATTTGAGTTCAAATTTTTCCTAAATGGCTTGTATGAAATTGGGGTCTAAACCTGATGCATTCCAGCGGCAAGGGCAAGCATGGTATCTATCTATCTACCCTTATGATTTTTATGTTGTTGGAGTTATGATTTTTGTGTATTTTATTGTTACTGTTTTATTATTTTCTTTGTTCAATTGTGTGTTTGTGAAGTTTGGGATTTGGAATAACATGTTTGTTGTCTACTTGCTATGTTGAACTGTAGTGAATGTATGTTGTTTGAGTAAATGATTCTGTCTAGGGTTTATAGTCTTGTTTGTATTGCTGTACAAAAGGGATTCATGAGTTCTTTCCTTACGTTTTAATTTGATATGATTTAGTTAACATTATGTATGTTGCGAAAGCATGTAATCTGCGGCCTTTCGTAGAAACAGAGCTGTCAATGAGGATTAAGACTGTAATTGTTCAATTTGATTCGTTTTTGTTCTGGTTGCGAGGAAGTGCTATAGTCTAGTTACATAAACTTCCTATGCGCTCCTGTTAGTTAGTGCTACAGTTTTGATTGTTCCATATGTTTGTTTCATTCAAGATACTCTTGTTACAAGATGTCGAAGGACGACATTTTTATTCGTTTTTCTTGGACTCTTAAAGTAAGCCGTTTTAAAATGCATTTTGTTGAACTCGTTGTTGAAATTTGTGTCACCTTGCTGTCATAGGTTCTGCACGACCGGGCTTCCGAGCGATATAGTTGTTGAAGTTGGTGAGATGTCTTTCCATCTTCACAAGGTATATGTTAATATATTTCTTACAAATTTTCATTCATATATTGTTTGTTAAGCGCATATTTGATTTTTTTCGTTTTTCCAGAATAGTCTCAGTTTCAGATAAATTAACTCAGCCGCGATAATTTGTATATATGCTAACCCGAATTACACACCGAATGCAGTTCCCTTTGCTCTCAAGAAGTGGGGTTTTGGAAAGATTGATAGCCAAAGCTTCTGAATCAGAGGAAGAATGTGGCATACCCCTTCACGATATTCCCGGTGGGGCCAAAACATTTGAACTTGTAGCGAAATTCTGCTACGGTGTGAAACTTGAACTAACGGCATCAAATGTAGTGAGCCTACGCTGTGCTGCTGAGCATCTTGAAATGACCGAGGAATATGGTGAAAGTAATCTTATTTCGCAAGCCGAAGGCTTTTTCAATCAAGTGGTTCTTCGAAGTTGGAAAGACTCCATGAGGGCACTTCAAACCTGTAGCGATGTTCTGTCCAAAGCCGAAGAACTCCACATTGTGAAAAGATGCATCGAATCACTTGCAGCAAAGGCATCTACTGACCCAAATTTATTTGGGTGGCCGGTACTAGAGCGCGGTGGTCCCTTGCAGAGTCCTGGTGGAAGTGTTTTGTGGAATGGAATAAGTACCGGGGCAAGACCAAAGAATACAAGTTTAGATTGGTGGTATGAGGATGTCGCAAATTTGAGTTTACCAATTTATAAGAGGCTGATAGCTGTCATGGAATCTCGGGGCATTAGGCAGGAAATTATTGCTGGTTCTCATGCTTTCTATGCGAAAACATACTTGCCTGGTTTAAATCGACGTAAGGTTTCCGGCGAGTCCACTACCCGGCTAACCCCGGCGGCTTTAGGGTCTCCACTATCTGAAGAAGATCAAAAGATTCTTATAGAAGGAATCGATCAACTACTTCCAATGCAGAAAGGCTTGGTCCAAACGAAGTTCCTGTTCGGTCTACTTCGAACGGCCATGATTCTAAGAGTGAGCTTGTCTTGCATATCAAGTTTGGAGAAACGAATCGGGATGCAGCTCGATCAAGCTGCTTTGGAAGATCTCTTGATGCCAAGTTTTTCGTATTCAATGGAGACACTTTACAATGTTGACTGTGTGCAAAGAATTCTTGATCATTTCCTTGCAATGGATCAGGCTACAGGTGGTGCGTCTCCATCATGCTCAGTTGACGATGACGGCCAGTTGATTGGTTCACCGTCACTGACACCGATCACTATGGTCGCAAAACTGATTGATGGATACCTGGCAGAGGTTGCTCCCGATGTTAACGTAAAACTTCCCAAGTTTCAAACCCTTGCTGCTGCTGTTCCCGAGTATGCCAGGCCTTTGGATGACGGTTTATATCGCGCTATCGATATTTATTTGAAGGTATGATAAATCTTCGTTAATTGATAAATCTTTGTTGCTTCGGATTTAGTTACTGTTATACTTATTCATGTTGGTTCATACTATCGTGTGTACTAATTCACTTTCACCGTTGCGTAAAAATACAGTCTCATCCATGGTTGGTGGAGTCAGAGAGAGAGGAGTTATGCAGGCTAATGGACTGCCAGAAGCTCTCACTAGAAGCATGCACCCACGCAGCACAAAACGAGAGGCTACCCATTAGAATCATAGTTCAAGTTCTATTTTTCGAGCAGCTCCAGCTTCGAACATCAATCGCCGGTTGCTTTCTAGTTTCAGACAATCTCGACGGCTCAAGAAACTTAAGAAGCGGTTTAGTTGGATCCAACGACGGATGGGCATCCGCTGTAAAGGAAAACCAGGTATTGAAAGTCGGGATGGATAACATGAGGATGAGGGTATCCGAGCTCGAGAAAGAGTGCTCAAACATGAGGCAAGAGATCGAGAAACTCGGCGGTAAGACAAAAGGTTCGACGACAAGCGCTTGGGGAGCCGTGTCGAAGAAACTTGGGTTTAAGATAAAGTCTCAGATGTGTAGTGCTCAAGAAGGGTCTGTTAGCAAACAGAACAATGAGAATAATAAGGTTGAGAAGTTGAAGGACAGACATGTAAAGCATAATAGAAATTCTTCTATTAGTGACAAAGGATCAGTTTCTTCAAATGTTCCTTCTTAGTGTTTTTTTCCTCTGTCATGTGCTAAACAGCAGCCACGTGCTAGCTTATTTGAGATGGAAATGTTGGCTGTTGTTTAGTTTTTAACTGTAAACTGTAGCTTTAGTTTCTTGTTTCCTCTTTTGTACCATTCTGTCTATGGCTATAAAATGTGTATGGACATTAAATCTTTGCACTGAAATATTCATTCATTTGAATTTGGAAAGAGGGATGCTTATAGATGTAGCTATTTGTTTTTTGTTTTTTTTTGGAGTTTGTGTATGAAATTCCTCAACTCTCTTCAAAATCTTAACACTTTTTATCTTTTCTTTTGGTGTCCATGAACATATCACATATGGCCATAAAAGTGTTATTCACTATGTTAGGGACCAAGTGAAGAAAGATGGGCCAGATATAGAAATGACAAATCATATTGGGCCTAAGAGTGCTAAGATCTGGCAGGTTTATTCTAGAAGGAAAAAAGGATCTCACACCACGTGATAGCTATGAGGTGGCAGAGAGAGAGAGTAGTGGCTTTAGCGAATATCGTTAGACAGTTACAATAAATGAGGAGGTAAGGGAATTGGGGACGTACGCTAGAAGATTCATTTAGTAATCATTGGATGGGGGGCTGTTAAGCACTCCATAGGAGCCTAGCTCTGTGGCAGTTAGATCATTGAATCTTCTGTAAATCTTCTTACCATCATACAATAATAGCCATTAATTTCTATCAGCTTCTATCCTTTTGTCTTAAATTTATTTGTTACTATCGGTACTTAACATTGGTTCGACATGCCGGAGACGTAGAAGGAGCCAGTGAAGGAACGTTGGTGGATGCCGCCGAAGAAGAAAACAATAGCAAACATGGAGGCGAAGATTGCAGATCTGGAGCAAGAGTTATCGTTGATGAAGGTTGCTTTTTCTGACTCCATCGCTGAGGTTCAACAAACGGCGAGGGAGAACCAAAGAGCGTTGATGCAGATGATGGAGAAGGTCCTTGGCAAAAAGGTGGTTGAAGTTGATGATGGTGTCTCGTCGGCGGTCAAGAAGGCTACAACATCCTCAGAGTTGAAAGGTGAAGCTTTGGATGAATTTAGAAGATCGGTTAAGAAGGTGGAGTTACCGGCGTTCTCCGGTGATGATCCGACCGGATGGATCTCTAGAGCCGAAGTCTATTTTCGTGTGCAGGACACGAGTGCTACAGTGAAGGTGGGGATGGCGCAGTTGAGCATGGACGGACCAACCATCCATTTCTTTAACTCTCTGTTAGAGGAAAACCCAGATCTGACATGGGAGGAGTTCAAGGTGGAGCTTCTAGAGAGGTATGGAGGTTTGGGAGAAGGAGACGTTTATGAGCAACTTACGGAGATTCGTCAAAAGGGTACGGTGGAAGACTATATACAAGAGTTTGAGTGTTTAACAGCTAAGATTCCAAGGTTGCCTGACAAACAGTACCTGGGGTACTTTTTGCATGGGTTAAAAGATGAAATCAGAGGTAGGGTTCGGAGTTTTGTGGCTATGGGTCCACTTACAAGGAGCAAATTAATTCACGTTACCAGAGCAGTGGAAAGGGAGATAAGTGGTGGGTCGGGCTGGAACCGGAATCTGAAAATAGGTGGGTCAAACCGGGTTAACCCGGGAAGACATGGAGGTACAGATTGGGTTTTTGTGAAAGGGGGTCAGAATAGTGGAAATCATAATGGGATTGGGCGTAGAGGTGTTAATGGCCCAATTCATGAATCCAAACATGGTACTGCAAATAAGAGGAAGGGGGTGCGTGAGAAGGGGTTTACCCATTTGTCTTATCAAGAACTAATGGACCGGAAGAAAAAGGGCTTGTGTTACAAGTGTGGGGGCCCATATCATCCTCTCCATCAGTGCCCAGATAAGCAGCTTCGTATCATGATTGTGGAGGAGGAGGAAGGAGGAGATGATGAAGCGAAGTTGTTGGCGGTAGAGGTGGAGGAATCTGAAGAGGAGCACGGTGGAGAGATGAGTGTTATGAGTCTCTTTGAACTGAAAGAGTCCCAACACGACAAAGTTCATACACTCAAACTCAGAGCAACGATCAATGGCGTACCGGTGGTGGTGTTGGTTGACAGTGGGGCTACGCATAATTTCGTTGCGAAGTCCACGGTTCAGAAGTTAGGGTGGCAAGTAGAGACCACACCAGATTTTAGAATCAAATTGGGTGACGGGTTCCAAACCATTACTAGAGGAAAGTGTACTCAAGTTTTATTCAAAACTGGGGGAGTCACCTGTGAAATTGAGGCGTATCTATTTGATTTAGATGGGGTGGATGTAGTTGTGGGTATGGCATGGTTGAAATCTTTGGGAGATATGATAGTTAATTGGAATAAACAAACAATGGAGTTTTGGCATGAGGGGAAGTGGGTAATGTTGAGAGGGATAGAAGGAACATCTGAAGCAATACCGGCAATTAGGGAAGGCTAGCAAAGGCTACGGCAAGAAAGGATGGTCACTAGATGCAACATTGAGCAACACGGAAGGGCGGGCAGAGGTAGTGTTAGAGCAATCCGTTATGCAGGAAGTATTGAAATCTTTCGATGACGTGTTCCAAGAACCTAAGGGTCTTCCTCTATGTCGCTCAAGGGACCATGCTATCAATTTAATGGCAGGACAAGGTGCAGTCAATGTCATACCATATAGGTACCCACACCACCAGAAAAATGAAATAGAAAAACAGATTAAGGAGATGCTTGAGATGGGAATTATTCAACACAGTTGCAGCGCTTTTTCTAGTCTCGTTATACTGGTAAAGAAGAAGGACGGGACATGGCGAATGTGTGTTGATTATCGTGCCCTTAACAAGGCCATCGTACCAGACAAGTTTCCAATACCGGTGATAAACGAGTTACTCGATGAGTTACATGGGGCTCAATATTTCACCAAGCTTGATTTAAAGTCTGGGTACCATCAAGTGAGGGTGAAACCGGAGGATGTTCATAAGACGGCCTTCCGTACTCATGACGGACATTATGAATTCCTTGTGATGCCGTTTGGATTGATGAATGCTCCATCCACATTCCAATCCTTGATGAGCGAGGTGTTCAGGCCCTTATTGAGGAAGTTTGTGTTAGTTTTTTTTGACAACATACTCATTTATAGTAAATCGTGGCAGACACATATTTTTGAAGTAACCAAAGTGTTGCAGATTTTGAGGAGACATAAACTGGTTGCTAATAAAAAAAGTGTCAGTTTGGCCAGAAAACAGTTGAGTATCTCGGTCATTTGATCACGGGAAGTGGTGTAGCAGTAGATCCCTCGAAGGTGCAGAGTGTAATTCAATGGCCTATACCTAAGAACGTTAAAGGGGTGAGAGGATTTCTAGGCCTTACGGGTTACTACCGCAAGTTTATTAAAGATTATGGGAAGATTTCCAAGCCATTGACAGAGTTGACAAAGAAGGAGGGGTTCAAATGGGGGCCTCAAGCTCAAAAGGCTTTTGAAATTTTAAAGCAGAAGCTGACAACAGCCCCCGTACTTGCTTTGCCGGATTTTGAAAAGGAGTTCACAATAGAATGTGATGCATCCGGAGTGGGTATGGGGCGATATTAATGCAAGAGAGAAAGCCCATTGCTTTTTTTAGCAAGGCTTTAGGAGGAAAGAATTTGGCTAAGTATGCATATGAAAGAGAACTAATGACAGTAGCTTTAGCGGTACAACATTGGCGCCCTTATTTGTTGGGCAGACATTTCACTGTGACAACAGATCAAAAGAGTTTGAAGCAATTATGGCAACAAAAGATTACGACACCGGATCAGCAGAATTGGGCCACTAAATTGCTCGGTTATCAGTTTGATATCGTATATAAGCCGGGAGTGGAGAATAGAGGGGCAGATGCTCTATCCCGATTACCTGAAGGTGAATTAGCAGCTCTGGTCTCATATCTAATTTGGGAGGAAGGCAATGTGATACAGGAAGAAATCCATATGGATAAGGTTCTGCTGAAAATCATAGAGGAATTGGAAGAAAAACCAGATTCAAGACCAGGATTTAAGTACAAACAAGAGGTTTTATTTTATGAGGATCGTTTAGTGTTATCTGCACAATCTTCATTGATTCCCAAGATGTTGGTTGAATTTCATATTACTCCGGAAGGTGGGCATTCTGGGTTTTATCGCACCTACAGACGTTTAGCTGCTAATGTACATTGGATAGGTATGAAAGCAAGAGTGCAAGCCTATGTGAAGGCTTGTGATGTGTGTCAACGACAAAAATACTTAGCTATCGCACCTGGGGGTTTATTACAACCTCTGCCCATTCCCTCAGCAGTGTGGGAAGAGGTCTCAATGGATTTTATCACAGGTTTGCCGAAATCCCGTGGGTTTGAAGCTGTGTTTGTGGTAGTAGATAGGTTGTCAAAATACTGTCATTTCATCCCTCTTAAGAGACCTTATACTGGTAGAACAGTAGCTGAAATTTTTGCCAAAGAAGTTATACGACTTCATGGTTTACCTAAAACCATTGTTAGTGACTGTGATCCTTTGTTCATCAGTAATTTTTGGACTGAACTTTTCAGGCTGCAAGGTACCACTTTGAAGATGAGTTTAGCCTATCACCCGGAAACGGATGGCCAAACGGAGGTTGTCAATCGATGTTTGGAGACTTATTTGAGATGTTTCATTGCGGACCAACCAAAATCCTGGCTGACTTGGATTCCATGGGCAGAGTTTTGGTTTAATACAACATTTCATGCGTCCACGGGGAGTACACCTTTTGAGTTAGTCTACGGAAGGAAGCCTCCTGTTATTACAAGACTCTTGCAAGGTGAGACAAGGGTGGCTGCAGTTCAAAAAGAGTTGGAAGAACGGGATGAAGCACTCAAGCAGTTGAGAGCTCATCTCCAAAGAGCTCAAGACCGCATGAAGTATTTTGCAGATGAGAAGAGGACAGAGTCCACTTTTAATATTGGAGAGTGGGTGTTTTTGAAGCTTTGTCCACACAGGCAGCAATCCGTGGTATCTAGGATTAATGCTAAATTGGCAGCTAGATATTATGA